CACTCACATGGTTACCATCAAACCAATGAAATAAAATAAAATAAAAATATATGTCAATATAGATATATATTCTATAGTAACAGACACAGTAACATTCACTTTCCTTTCAAGTAACTCGGCTTGCTACAAAAATTACAATTAAGGCATCAGCCTCTTGAAAACATGACAAGATTCTTACGGGAGAGAACAAAAATACCAAAGGTTTACCGAAACCTTCAAGCTAGCGTTCAAGCTTCAGGTGGGAGGTTCTCTATGCTAGGACAATGGGAAAGACTAGGTTACTGCTCTCATAATGTATAGGAGTCATCTTCCTAATCTAATTATCTACAGCAATAAAATAAACGTGAATGATAATGCAAGTAATGACAATTAACTAAGGACATAAAAGTTGGGTTCCCTAATTTTCAACCTGGATAATTGGACCTCTATGTACCCCTTGACTTACCAGGTGGTCAGAATGCTGCGTGTTGAGGTATTTGTCCATGAAGTCTAGGATGGTGAGCCACAGGGCAGTGAAGGTCGACAGTGTCAGGAGCGGTGTCAGATGCCGTAGATAGACCTGTTGAAAGAATCCCCTTTTGTTACTTCAGTTTTTTAAAAGAATTTTGAATGTTTAATAAATCATAGAAAAAAAAATATCTGAACATTTTTTAAATATCTGTTAACACTTTCAATTTATCTTTAATTTAATATTTACTTTTCATTATCTTAGGACTTCTCCCAGCATTAACAATCAATAAGAAAGTCATACAAGCCACCTATATAAATATATAGGTAGGTCTGAAAAAAGAAAAACACCCACCCACCCACACACATACAAAAAACTTCCTTAAATGTTCTCATGCATGATAAACAAGCTTGTGTGCATTTTATAGAACACACTTCTCACTAGCCCAGCTGCTGAGTGAAAACATGATTTGGGAGCAGCTATGATGCACAAAATTAGGAGATAATGCTAACTGATAACTCACCCCCTACTACCAATCAAAATATAAATAAATAAGTGACACAACATGAATACATGAGAAGAGTAAATGCAGGATAAATATAACTTCCTCACTGGCACTCCCCACAAATGCATAACAAAATCCCTCTCTTACTTTCTGTACAAGTGTGGCTGCCCTGACTCTGGTCTCCTCCAGTGAGGCAGGGCTGGAGCCAGGCAGCGGCTGCAACAGCTTGGCCAGGAGAGGGAAGAGGACCTTGTTGAAGCAGGACTCCCACTCCAAGGCACTCAGGGCCTGCAGGTCGTGGTTGAGGAGTGCGCGGTGGAGGTACGTCATGGCCATGTTGCGGATCTGAGGTGGTGAGAGTTTGGAATGTATTACTAGTGACTAGATTTATGTACTTTTTCTTTTTAATAAGTAAATATTCACTTAGAAAGAAGTAGTGATCTTTAGGAAACACGGTTCTCTTTTGCTCTGGCATCTCATATGGAAACAAGTATGCTTCCTAAAGGACTGTTGCTACACTTCTATTTGTGAGGCTAAATAGCCAAGCTGAAGAACTGATCTAAATATAAAAATATAAAGCAGCATAATTCAAAAATTCCTTTGAACACTGGGATAAACGCAACAAACGTGCCATACCATTGTCCGTGAATCACAGCAGTATCTTGCAATCCCCTGCAGAAGAGGACAGAGTGCCTGAGCCCAGAGAGCGACAGGCGACCCTTGAAGCTTGGGCTGCTCTCCCAACTCCACGATCTGGCTGGATGCCGTGTGCAGGGTATCCATCAGGTCCAGCAGCTGCAACGAAGAGGAATACTTATAGTTTCTGTAATTTCACCTTGATCTTCATACTATAATACCATGACAGCCTATTGTAGAAATATGATAATAATTAATATAAATACATACAGGTAATAGTGCTTAAGTGTGCCTGCGTATGAGCAAGCACTGAGAAATTTATACCTTTATGCCATTAGGCAAGACATCACCCACAAACCTTTTCCGAAACTTGCTGGTATGTGACGGGCACATCATCGGAATCAGATTCATCCGCATCGTAGGCACTGGACCCAGACGTTGGCGATTTGGGCCTGCGAGCGCTTCCCTTCTCGTCCTTGCGGCGGCCGGGAGTCTTGCGGCGAGATGGAGAACGAACGCCCTCCTTGTTGGTGGCTCTCTTTTCAATCTTTCCTATTAATTGTAAAAAAATATAAATATAAAACCAGACTAGACCAATGTCAGTGTGCTATCTTTAGGCCTTAAGAATATATTCATCACTAAGAACAAGTATAGAATTTTTTAAAATTAAACAGACTTCATCAAAGTCCATAAAAGGGATTCACATTATTTGTCATTTCATTCCCTCGTCACTTAATGTTTTGTGGATGCATTATTAATCACGAAAATTTATAGACATATATCTGCAAATACAAACTACTACTACTACTACTAAGGAGAAGAAAAAAAACTAAATTGAGAAAATAAATTTTAAAAATAAGAACCAGAATTTCAGAATATGTATATAACCCGATACACATAACAAAAATTTTATATTTCTGTACACTTTGAGAAATACAACACACAATACCAGTATGTATCTACTTTTCAGTCCCTGGAATAGATTGATGTTGCTACACCAGAGTACCCTCAGGTGATGTTGAGTGTTCAAGTTTATTTACTTCCCAGGCTTATTAATGGATAATGGCTGATGCAAACTCAACCAAAGGTAAGCCTGGTAAGAAGATGGAATAATAAAAAGCTTGGGTGATAAGCTGGTGGGCTTCCCTCATGCGGTGCAAGCAATAATTACACCATTTTCACGACATCTAATGTTTGCATTTCTCTTTTATATCAACTTCAATAAAAATGAAGGTACAACTTTTTTTTAGTACTATCTTATGATCATACATCTACACTATAAGTTTTAGGAAACCACTGGATATTTAGGTCCTGGTCCACATCATGAGCTTTTATAACGTATTCCTGTGGGATACTGTGTATTGTTATTTGTCAAATTGTTCTTTGTTACATTTTTCTGGTCCATATTAATGACAGATAATGGGAATCCCCTGTACACAATTTTAAACTGTACAAAGAAATGTGCCTCCATAAAACTTTCTCAGAAAAAGAAAATACTCTTACCTATGTAACTAGCATACTTATTCTAAATAAAAAAGCTTTAGCTAACTCTAGCAGATGCACCCATCATCCTATACACTTTACCTCCATTGAGAGTAGCCTCCACAAAGGTCCTACAAGCCTGGACAGCTGACGGTAAGCTGGCATGTGTTATGCGTCGGTCTCGTACCAAGAAGGCCACTGTGTCAACTGCTTGAACAAGGGCTTCCGGGCGGTGTTCACCCAGCTCCCTCTGGTGCACAATGTCCCACTCATTCACTGCCACTGCCCGAACTGCCACTGGCTCAATCTCTCCTTCACGCCCCACCTGATAACATGGAAAAAATTTATATGCTTTGAAGCATCAAAAGATCATCTATGGAAACAGATGTGATTTGTATTTTTGTAATAGGAAATGATTGTGTGATAATCTAAATATCCACTATACATGACAACTAGATAACAAGCAAGTATCTAAAGTAAAATAATAAAGTAAAAAAAATGTCACAGACTCCTTTAAACCAGTCATTTAAATCAGACATTTTTTATGACTAAGATAATGAAAGATAAAGGAAATTGATTAAGCAGAGGATGGATATGTAAAAGTTATTTTTTTATGATGAGAATAGGGAAGTGTTTGTCCTGCTTCTGAACAAGCTTGTGTAAATGAGAGTAACAATTTTCTTTATCACTTTTTGTTGCTTTTTTTAAGTACTTTTCTTTATATTTCAAATTTGTTGATGGATGATGTGGGATACGGGATCATGTTCAACACATATAGGGCAATGCAAAATATTCCTAGTAGTGACTGACAATGCAGATGACATATCATATCATCCAAGGAAAAATCTATGGAAGACAAACAAAGCCAAGGTGACTGACAAGTGAAACATCACTGTTTACTATGTAAACATTCAACCCCTAAACATAGGAAACATACTATTTGTTGTCTCGCCAGTCTTACAACATTCTGATGCGATATGTTTGACTGTGATTGCAGAAAAAAGTACTTCACTTTTCACTTGCAACACCAACCTCAAATCCCTCAAAACCACAAATCACTGCAACTCACCAGTATCCAGCCTCCTGTGTTGTGAAGGGGGTCGGGACTGGCTGCCCGAGATCGCTGGCTGGGCTTCACTCCCTCTGGGTGTTCAGCCACAGGCGAGCCAGGGGCCACATCACCAGACTCCCCTTCCGTGTAATGGCCTGAGTCAACTCCCGATGAGCTGCCCACATCACTTTCCGACATGGATCCTAAAAATATGCAGTGAATAGAAAAGTGTATAAAATGATAGTAATATGACTTATTATAAGTACTTTTCTCTCAAGTTCTAGAAACAAGAAAGCATGGCAAGATTTATTGCCTGAATACCATTGCCAGTCTCTATCACTATAGACAAATGCAGTCACCAGAAGTGCTAGCTGTCTATCTGATGAAACAAAACCTAAAAAATACATCAAAATTCTAAAAATACTATAATCTATCCCCGTAGTACAACTAAGAGCATACATCATACCTGTATCACTAACTACGTCACCGGGATCTGAATTGACCATTGGAGGCGGCTTTGCTCCAGCACCAGCACATTCCAGCAAATTGAACAACACAGTCCAGTCATTGGAATCATGGATGTTATCGGTGTTCACACTCAGTACCTGCAAACACATAATAAGGAAGAAAATACATTACACTGAAAAAAGGCATCCCTTAGAAACCACGAGGATGATTCCTCAAATAAATTCTTACTGGAATGGTATTACTAATCAAAATAATTCATTATATTCATATTCTACCTTTACAGAATGTATTTTCTGTATTATATGGAAAAGATCAGCATTTATTATCATGTGACAAGTCAAATTCACTATACAGCATCAAAATATAAAACTATCATTATCAGAGTGGATCACTGAATCATCTGTTCATCTATTTGATTGTCTAATTACTTTTCTCTCCATCTCTATGCCTACACACAAATCTCTAATAAACTCACCTCGCGCAGACCACAAACAACTTGCAGGGACACTCTCAGCAGGACATTTGGTCGCAGCAGAAGCAACATCCGCAGAGACTGCAGAATGGGGTTGGCCAAGTTAGGTCTTCGTAATAGGACCTTGGCTAGCCTGAGCATGGCCACAACACAGCGTTCAAGCAGGAATTGCCGGTCAGCAGCAGCTGCACCCATCAAGAGTGAGTAGATGTGGTTGCGAACACCTGGCCACACTCCCACAGCCCGGTCCTTATTGGCCACAAGGACCTGCACCACCAGCTCCAACAGGAATGCCTGGGAGTGCTCGTCCAACCCTCCTGGGGATCCTCCCTCAAGCATGCCACCTCCTGGGGTCACTCCTGCATCCCCAAGGGTGCTTGCATCTCCTGCACCCATCATGGCCTTCAGAAGCTCATTCAGGGAGTCACAGCGAAGGAAGGCAGACTCAGTGATGAGTCTCTCTGGATGGCATTCGGCAATGCAGTTCCTTGCTCTCTGTGATAGTTCCACGTCTTCAGGGTTAGTCCCACGGGCAGCTCCAGCATCGCCAAGCGCTATGTACGAGTAGATTGAAGAGAAGAGGCCAGACTCAACTCTCGGTACAGTTACTGGGGTTTCTCTCAAAAGGCTGACGTGTCCACTGCTCTCCACAAAATCTTCACTTTCCACCAGAGAGGATGGCAGCAGGCGGCACCTGAACAATTGCAACAGAAGGTCTAGTATATTTTTCCAACCATCTCGAAGAATGTCTCCGTGTGAGGTTACTAATCTGAATACAGTCTTTGCTGCAAGTTGTGCCTTTTTATTAGCCCCGAAGGCCACAGTGACATGCTCTGGTGCTTCCGCAGATGCAGTAGAAGCTGCAAGAGTTGTAAATTTACAAAGAGATACAACTAAATTATCAAACACATCACTCATTCCAAATCGTGCAGATATCGAGGCACATTTCCTGAAGCCTGACACTGCCCTCTGGATGATAGCATCATCCATTGATTTATCAAATACATAAGAGAGTGAAGCAATTGTTGGACCCCAACACAGTGCGAACAAGTCTCGATCAAAGGAAATGTCTTCATTTCCTAGGTAGTACTGGCCCTCTTTTGTGTGCCCTCTCCTTAACAACATTTTCCACAAATAATTCTCTCTCACAAGGCCAGTCTGCTCTTCGGGCATCACTATCTCATCTACCCTAATTGCATTATAAATTTCCTCAAGCATATCTTGATCGAAATCTGATCCATCATCAACACCTCGCAGATTATTTCTAAACTGGTCGAGAGTCATGGGTATGTTCTGCTTCTTAGCATTCTGGTTGTGCTGGTCCACATTGAGCATGATGACAGCATATGCAAGAGTGAAGGCAGCATCCTCTTTTGCAAATGGTTCATTGTTACTAATGTGCCAGTGAGATGAAAAATGCTCAATGATAATAGCAATTAATGGAGCTTCTCCTGGCAGCCTGAAGCTTTCGAGGAACATTCGCAAAGCTTCATCTACTCGTAAGTTTCTGAATTCAAAGGATTTCACAAATGCAGAGAGTATGTCAACATTCTTCTTCTTGCTAACATAGTCACCAATGACCTTCTTACTAAGCCTTGGATTTTCTCTAAGGAATACTGCTATATCCTCTACTGAGCTGGGAACAATCCCATTATCCTGTAGGAATTTTATGCCCTTTTCAGGTTTTGCATTGAATTGGTCTGTGCCAGCTGCTAAGAGCTTCTTCTTCTCTTTAAGAGCCAGAAGCTGTTCCCGCGAGATGCTGTTACTACCAGAGAGAACACATCTCGGTCTCAGTTGGGGCGTCACCGGCGAGAAGCCCCCAAGTAATCCCAACCCCAGGAGGTAGCCTGACGATACTGGAGTAATTACCAAAGGTGCTTTGAGGGTGTCTTGTTTCTCCAGCACTTGCTTGTCTTTGCTCACACTGTGACTCTCTATGGTCTCTATAACAGTAAATAATGCCTCTAAGGACAACAGATTGGTAGAATATAAACCCTGCACTGGGAATGCATTTTTAGAGAGCATTTTTGTGAGATCCTCAAAAAGATTGGAAGTGTACAAGTCGCAGTCATAATTGAGGAACAGTTCTGTGATGAATCCTGGAATACGCCAAAGCTGGACGATTGTCTCCAGACCCAACTCTTTGTGAGCATAGGAAACGTTTGGTGCTTCTGATGTTATGATTTCCATTAGTTTATTTAAAAACATCTCCACCTGGAACTTCAAATGAGACCGTAGTGACTCACACAAGAGTGTGCACATGCGTAGTGAAGCCATGAAGATGCTCAGGCGGAATTCTGGCTTCAGGAGCATGAAAAGGTTCCTGCAGAGCTGGTCTTTTAGCAAGACCAGGAGAGATGGTGTGTTATTGATGTGATCTGCACCAACCTCCAGAGCCACCGTGAGTAGGTTGAGAGCTGTTAGGATCATTGCTGGAGTATTCTGCTCATTGTTTGGAGAGGTGAGAGAGATCAAGAAGCGCAGCACCTCCTTCACACATGGCATTCCATAAGGGACTAGCGCACCACTTTCCACATTAACTCCTTCCTGAGTAAACTTGACTCCCTGGGAATTGATGAAGCCATCCTTCTCCAACTGCTGCAATTCATCCAGCTTCTCTGTCACTCCTGTAGCTTCTACTTCAATGTCACCATGATTAACCACCTCTGCTGATGACTGGGAAGTGTTTGTTTCTGAACGATCTCTTGACACTGCTTCCACCTGCTCCGAGTCTGACGTCTTTGACGTGCATGTGCCATCTGGTTCACTTTTAGAAGGTTCAAGATTTTCCATGGAGCCACAGCTGTCTGGGGCTAAATGGGTGTGAGATATGTCTACAGTGTTATCTGCAGGGAAGCTGGTCTCCATTATGCCAGAGTCAACAGATGCTGTGTCACCTGTGGGGTTCTCTCCAACTGGGGCACTGCTTATGGACTCAAGCTCTGATTCAGTGGGTGACGTGATGGCTGATGATTGCTCACCTGTGCATCCCTCTGGTGTCTCCTGGATTTGTGTCTCCTTGAGTGAGGGCGACACAGGCTGCTCAGAGGGAGGGGGAGTGGAGGAGGGCGTGGGTCGGGGCGACTTTCCCTTCCTCCTGCCTTTGCTTTCTCCCCCAGCCCTCATCTTTAACCTCCGAGCATGCCCTTGGCCCCGAGGGTCATCTTTGAACTGTGGCAGGCGTGCAAATAGCAGCTGAACCATGTGTCGGAGTGCCTCCTCTGTGCAGTTCCTCAGTAATTCACTAAGACGTGTCTCAAAACAGATCCTGAATGAGGAGTTTAGGATTTCACACACTGACTCGTTTGTTAATAGATGGCCCACAGGACCAAGCATTAATGTTCTCAACACCATAAGGATTTCCCAAAGCACCACTTCATCAGCACCTTGGTCTGTGCCAACAAACCTGGCATGTGTTACAGCTGCAGCCACAGCCTCAACAGCACTTGCTGCACTGCCACTCTCACTGCTGATTAGGCCATAATTAAGCATTCTGTAAATGAAACAGCAATAGTTGTAGTTATTCCTGATGGTGATAATAAGGAAATTGGATTTTTAAAACATCTGATGATAAAATGACACTTTCCTCAACCTACAATAAAAAAATAAAAAAAATATATATTTTCTAAAAAATTGACAAAATAAAAAAAATACGATTCTTTTCTAAAAACACACGTCCTTAAAACTCAGCCACAGCATGGACCCCTAATAGCCCAGGGTATACCTGTTAATGGCAGCCAGAGCACTCTTGGTAACGGGCCCGGTGGTGTCCTCGGAGCGGATGATGGCCAGGAAGGGGTCAAGAAATGTGTTGGGGTCTATCGAGTCCTCCGGGCCGAGGGACGTCACGGAGGCTTGCAGGTCCTTCAGCTTCATGATCAGTGGGTCTCGGTCTAAATCCTGCCAAAGTATCCGGGAGAATCAGTAACTTCAAAATGAGACACGGACAGATTCATGAAATCAAGAACTTTCAAAAATAACGGAAGACAATATTGGTCCTGTCAAAGGAAATATATCAATTAAAGGAAGACTATCTATATATATCAATTCAAAAACGAAAGAAAGAAAAAAAAAAAAAAACACACAATACCATATATACATATACATACACTCAAATTCTCTTTCAAAATACACACACACACACTCTCACACACACACACACACACACACACACACACACACACACACACACACACACACACACACACACACACACACACACACACACACACACATGTACATGTACACGCACACGCACTCACACACTCGCCACAGTAAACCAAAGTGCCGTAAAATGATTAATAGGGGCGTTTCCGTATAATAAATGGTCCATCACAAGTGTGGACATTTGCATCAGGAATCAGTAACTTGCCCAATGGCAATATGGACACCAGCAGAGTTGAGAAGAGACTTGACATAAGCTCCTGCTATCAACTTTGAGTGAGAGAGAGAGAGAGAGAGAGAGAGAGAGAGAGAGAGAGAGAGAGAGAGAGTGTGTGTGTGTGTGTGTGTGTGTGTGTGTGTGTGTGTGTGTGTGTGTGTGTGTGTGTGTGTGTGTGTGCCCATTGGTGTGTGTGTGCGTGTGCCCATTGGTGTGTGTGTGCGTGTGCCCATTGGTGTGTGTGTGCGTGTGCCCATTGGTGTGTGTGTGCGTGTGCCCATTGGTGTGTGTGTGCGTGTGCGCATTGGTGTGTGTGTGCGTGTGCGCATTGGTGTGTGTGTGCGTGTGCGCATTGGTGTGTGTGTGCGTGTGCGCATTGGTGTGTGTGTGCGTGTGCGCATTGGTGTGTGTGTGCGTGTGCGCATAGGTGTGTGTGCGTGTGCGCATAGGTGTGTGTGCGTGTGCGCATTGGTGTGTGTGTGCGTGTGCGCATTGGTGTGTGTGTGCGTGTGCGCATTGGTGTGTGTGCGTATGCGCATTGGTGTGTGTGTGTGTGCGTGTGCGCATTGGTGTGTGTGTGCGTGTGCGCATTGGTGTGTGTGTGCGTGCGCGCATTGGTGTGTGTGTGCGTGTGCGCATTGGTGTGTGTGTGTGCATGTGCGCATTGGTGTGTGTACGTATGTGTACGTGTGTGTGTACGTGTGTGTGTACGTGTGTGTGTACATGTGGGTACATGTGTGTATTTGTGTGTACGCGTGTGTGTGTACGTGTGTGTGTACGTGTGTGTGTACGTGTGTGTGTACGTGTGTGTGTACGTGTGTGTGTACGTGTGTGTGTACGTGTGTGTGTACGTGTGTGTGTACGTGTGTGTGTACGTGTGTGTGTACGTGTGTGTGTACGTGTGTGTGTACGTGTGTGTGTACGTGTGTGTGTACGTGTGTGTGTACGTGTGTGTGTACGTGTGTGTGTACGTGTGTGTGTACGTGTGTGTGTACGTGTGTGTGTACGTGTGTGTGTACGTGTGTGTGTACGTGTGTGTGTACGTGTGTGTGTACGTGTGTGTGTACGTGTGTGTGTACGTGTGTGTGTACGTGTGTGTGTACGTGTGTGTGTACGTGTGTGTGTACGTGTGTGTGTACGTGTGTGTGTACGTGTGTGTGTACGTGTGTGTGTACGTGTGTGTGTACGTGTGTGTGTACGTGTGTGTGTACGTGTGTGTGTACATGTGGGTACATGTGTGTATTTGTGTGTACGCGTGTGTGTACGCGTGTGCATATACATGTAAATGAGTAAGGCTCTAATTAGCTGTCCTCCCTACTCCTTCCCCTCCCTCTGCCTCTTACTAATAACAGTGCTAGCCTCCCCCCGCTACATGCTTGTGACTGCTACGTACTTTACCTTCCTCTCCCTCCCTATGACTTTCTGTGCTTAGCGAGATAAAAAGATCTTGTACACTCTCTCCTGTCAACTTTCTAATTCAACAAGAATAATTCCTATTCAAATTTAAAAGGAATTAAAATCCTACCGTTCAGCCCATGCACATACTGCCCAAATCACAGAGGGCAAGTAGGGTTTAGACATTAATTTCCTTGACCTCTGTTCGACTGCCCTCCTAGTGAGACCTCAAACCAAGGAACTTCCCACCAAAGCATTTCCAAAAGTTTTACACCTACAGAATTTTCTTTCTTTCTAAACAAAAATCTGCACTCTTAACCCAATGCCGCCAGGGAAAATTTATAAAAATTGGGGAAAATGCTGTGTTCATTTTTTGTATTTTTGGTGAAATGTCTCATCACATAGATGGCTCTGCTGGTGCTTAGCCACAAAGGACTCAATTAGTAGACCTTGTGACCTTCCCTGATTTGAATTGGCAGGAAAAACATATCTATTACTAGTGCTATGAATATCGATGGTGTCATTCTTATCATAAACATTATAATTACTATAATGTTATAAACATTAGTAACAGCAAAATACTCATAATTGGCTCATTGATGACTTAGTACAAGTGTAGCCACCTATGTGTAAAAACAATCAAACAAGTAACTCACAGTGGGCATAGCACGTTATGTACACATCATGCCCGTCGGCACTGGGTTAACTTCAAACGTAATAAACCAACACCAACCTGCTGGTGCGAGGACCACCTAGGGGTCGAGCGCTTCATGGCAGCCAGAAGGGGCGTGATCTCCCCGAGGAGGATTCGGCCATAGTAGATAGTGGGTCGCGGGGCAGGGATCCCCTCGCCTGGCCCCCCCTCCTCTGGCCCAGGGACCACCCCTACCTCACCCTCCTTCTCCATACTAGAGGTGCCCAGTATGGATCCTGCAAGAGTAACAAGGTGGAATATACATCATGATGGTTGCAGTGATGATGATGGTGATGATGATCTTGAAGAGGAGGAAGAAGTGAAGAAGCAAGAGTGAAAGAGGTGGAGGAGATGGAGGTGGAGAAGGGGGAGGTGGAGAAGGGGGAGGTGGAGAAGGGGGAGGTGGAGAAGGGGGAGGTGGAGAAGGGGGAGGTGGAGAAGGGGGAGGTGGAGGAGGGGGAGGAGGAGAAGGGGGAGGAGGAGAAGGGGGAGGTGGAGAAGGGGGAGGTGGAGAAGGGGGAGGTGGAGAAGGGGGAGGTGGAGAAGGGGGAGGTGGAGAAGGGGGAGGTGGAGAAGGGGGAGGTGGAGAAGGGGGAGGTGGAGAAGGGGGAGGTGGAGAAGGGGGAGGAGGAGAAGGGGGAGGAGGAGAAGGGGGAGGTGGAGAAAGGAGGAGGAGGAGGAAAAGGAGGAGGAGGAGGAGGAGGAGGAGGAGGAGAAGGGGAGGAGGAGGAGGAGGAGGAGGAGGAGGAGGAGGAGGAGGAGGAAGAAAAAGAAGATGATGATGATCAGGAGGAGGAAGAGGAGTAAGAAGAGGAAGAAGAGAAGAAATCTGAAGAGGAGAGGGAAGAAAACAAGGAAATTGAGTAGAAGGAGAAGGAAAAAATAAATTGAAGTAAATACCAGAAAATCCCCTCTCAGACAAAATAGTCAAAGGCCTTAAATACTCAACATAAAAAATTCCACATCATCAAAAATAAAATAAATACTAAAAAAAACTATCAAAATTATGTGAACTAAATACACATGCCAAAAGAAAAATACAGAAGATGGAACAGTAGGACTTATCTAAACACAATAAAGTAACACTTGGTTGAGCCAAAAATAAACACTTGCGAACTCTGACGCCTCAGCTGTTCAGCAAGTGTCATTCACACTATATGTTTTCCTTTCTTCATTTCCATCTCAAAATCTACATGCGCGAGCAACTATAGCAAAAATCAAGTGGTGTGTAATATAATAACTATTAATACTAATCAAATAAATTTTAAATGTTCATAACAAACAACATTAAATGGAATAGTACAATATAGACCTTCTATAATAAGAACTTCAGTGAGATGCCTTTCAGCACAAAACCTGAAATGCGTCAAATGTCACCTAAATCTGCAGCAGTGTTGGTTACTGCAATTGCATAGCAAATTGAGAACAAGCACCCTCCTGGACCTTCCCTCAAGAGTGACCATGTAGAAAGGTCAGTGTCATGATCTTGCATCTCTTTGGGGGAGTGTTTACTATGACTTTTGTTGTTTATTGAGAAATTTGGATGGTCTTTTTTATCTAATTTATTTTATCTTTTTTTTCTTCTTCTTTTTCTAATCTGGTTTCTTAGCACTCTTACTTGTTGGTATGCAAATCAAAACTAAAGTACCCAGTTTTACAAATGGAAGACCAGAGCATTTCATTGTCCATTTAACATATTCCCCTTTGACCTTGGACAAAGTCTAGGCACAGTTCTTTGTAATTCACTCTTCTTCAATGTACAACAACAACAACAACAACAACAACAACAACAACAACTAACAACAATAACAACAACAACAACAACAACAACAACAACAACAACAACAAACCTTCACAAATCATTATAGCAATACTAAGATGGCCGGACATACATACACACATACATACATACATAAAATATCAGACTAATCAACTAGTGTTTGTTGATGTTCGCAAAGTTAATAGGCCTAAAACTGGGGACCCCACTGGTGTTGGTCCATTTAAAGTTGCTTCTTGAATGTAAACAATACTGTAAGCTTCTTAAGCAAGTCAAAGATGCCACTACATATCCCTAGCAAATTAGTACCAAGCGAAATATCCCTTTAATTAATGCGGTTTTGCTTTTATCTTAACCCTAGATAAGGTCTGATAAGGACAACTACTTAACATTCTCAAATATCTACTTCAGGGGAAAGAGTTACCGGCTTGCCCCCACTAGGGAAATGCCGCAGGGAAAGAGGGTCTATGGAACTTCAACCACTGACTCTTCTGTGATTAAACGTGGTAAGAGGAAAAAACATTAAAAATTGGTGCAGCTGAATTAGTTAATTTACCAAATTACATTTTTTCCTTTGAGAAAAAAATATATATATATCTAAAATGTATTACCTGCTGCAAAACTGAGGGGCATTTTGAGGCAAGGGAGTTTTTTTAGTTACTTACTAAATCATTAAGTGGTTAATCCTTACAGTATGGATGCACTAAGCTAGGGCAAATTGATGATATTTATGTAGAGCACAAAAAGTTTAAGTCGTCCTTACAAGCAATAATCTGCAAACATGAACAGACTGCCACAAATAGAAGAGAGATTGCAGTAAGCACCGCTCACTTGGTGCTCCTCAGTTCCAACTCTATCTTGCCAAGCATACCAAGGTGAAGACAATGTTTCCCTGGAAGTATTGGGGCAGTGCCCAGTTACAGCAACTTAGACTATTGAATAAATTTTGTGACGTGGAGTAGGGGACTTGAGTGCATCCGTACTGTAAAGAATTACTCACTCACTGACTAACAATCAAGAATAGCAAAATGTGGCCTCATTGCTTCATGCTCTGCCACAGACCAACTAATTCCATCAAATATATTAATCTAATCCTGATGGGAGTTCCACACACCAACTGGAACACTTCCCTAGAAATCTCCTATCAAAAAAAGAGACAAGCAAAACTCTATTCTGCAAAAATATTATATGGTGGAGAGCGGAGATTCGTTGGCTTCAGTCTAGACAGTCTCAGACTTCAATGTTATTGCAAGACAAGTTGAATTTCAGAATCATATGCCTTTGATCACAGACTGAAGGAAGTATCAAGGAACTCAGGATGGAATACAGCCATTATAAGTACAGGAACAGAGGGCAATATTATAAAGTTTTTAGCATTCATTCCACTGATCAATTAATCACTCATGCGATTAACTGATCAATGAATCTTGAGGCACTTTTCACTTATCCACTGCAAACTATAAATAAGTTTGAACTCTGGAAGTAAATAGAAACCTAAGAAAATACTCCTGAACCATAACTAGTACATATTTCTCCTTGTGTAGTCATCAGCAATCTTAACTTATAATCTCCAGTTTACTTACAATCACATAATCACACCAAAGGCTTTACGAATCAGCACTCAAACTAATCTAATAAAAGTGACAGGAAAAAAAAAAAAAAACATTCCAAGATACGACAATTGACCTTTCATTTATCCATTTCATATAATTAATAGAAATAATCTCTACTTGGCCCTGCTCCCATGATAGATAATAAAATGAACACTTTATCAAACTAACGACACTTAATATACCACATCAAAAAACAAACACAAGGAAAAAAAAATAAAAATAAAAAAAACGAAACAAATTCTACGAACTTCCACGACCTAACATACGGATTTCCGCTCAACTCTTCTTCCCCAAAGACCGAAAACCCGCCCTCGGACTAATATCTTGGCGTGGATTGCTGCTCTATATGTTGCCAGTCCCTCTGATGACCAATTACAGGTGAAATGTGGTAAAATATCCCTAAAAAGAGACCGTATGCTTACCCGGGAAAGGAAGAGTCTCGGATCAGCTGACGTGTAGACACTGTTCTGGCGGAG